AGCGTGCAGCCGCGAAGGGTCAACGACAGCAGTGACCGCGCGACAGCGACGGTTGGAGCGCAGAGCGACCGGGTGCGCCGCTCGACACGACGGCGAGTAGCGTGGCTTAGGCGGACGCGACGGTGGCAGAGCAGCCAGGCTCGCTGGCGCGGTGCGCGTGCGTGTGCGTGCGTGAGCGGGTGCCAGGGCGCGGTAGCAGGAGGCCATGGCCAGCAGCGTGGAGCCACGCGCGTGCGCATGCACGTCGGCAGACCAGCGCGGCGTGCCGAGCCGAAGCAGAGGGTGACCACGTCCAAACGCAGCGACCGACGGTAACGTACCATGCACGGTTTTTAAAGCGGCTCAAAAATCCCACTCAATGATCCAATTACTAAACCAACTATTTAACGCTCGAGATGGGATGTCAAGCTACTAAAACAAACCCTAAAACCATGCTACTACTTAAGCCGATTCTCCTATAAAAATTAACAAACTTCGCTTCGTCGATCCATTTTTCGACTTAAGAAACTTAACCGCGTCTTGATCGATTTCGCGTCGAATACGATTTCCAAGCTATTGAGTAAGCTAGCTAGCGAATCCCGTTCTCGACCGCGGGTATTTCACCGTCACCTACGAAGTTTGTACTATAAACTTTATTAAAGTCCCGCATACGCGTTCTATAGTCTTCTCGTTCAATAAAAATTCATTTAGAACCCTAAGTGACATAACGCGACATGAATTGTAACATTCGTTTCGCATTTCCAATGAACGTTTCGAGTGACAGGAATTTATTTACACACTATAATTCATACCCTCACACATAAATATGATGCTCATGCAGTGTTTTAGCAAAAGATTGTATAGTGTAACACCGAGGGTGTTACAGTGACGCGTGTGCAAGATGCAGAAGAGGATGCAGAGTGTCGCCGTCTCCTACTTCGGTACTTCCTCACGCGTGAGCACGCACCCTCTCTGCTTCCTTATCTCATTTGCGACCGAATTGTTTTTATACCCGCAATACAAAGATTGGTTCGGTAGCATTTACCTTGCCGTTTCGTGTTTATCTGTGGAGCACAGCATAGGTGTGGGAGACTTTGGGTAACTGCTGCTATAATGCTGGGATTGCGATGTGATTTGATGGCTCATGCGTCACGAACTTGAGACCTTTTGTTACCAGGGCAGCTTGAGGTTGTAGTCACACCATTTGATAGCTCCTGAATCTATCTAGTAGTGACCTGTAATGCCTGTTACGTGGCATTTTTTTTGGCTGTTAGCTACTGCTTTACGGCCTGCATTCTATTTAGTAATAGTACTACTACTATTAGGTTACAGTTACTAAGAAAGCCTGCTGGATTTGCTTGAAATGCTGAAATAATCCAAATTTTAGGATCCTTAATTTTATTTTAGGAACTTTTGCATGCATTATTTATGAAACTGCTGGAAATAGGAAGTGTAAGCTAGGGTTTCCTGAGATTATCTTTGTGAGAATTTCATTGTGGTGGATGGTCTGATGCAAAAGATAGATGTTTTAGCAATTAAAATATTCTGTATGTAGCAGAGGTTTTGGCATTAGCTCATGGATAAGCTTGAAAAGAGAGAGTGATGTTCATTTTGCTCTGAGGCGAGGTACAGTTTGAGTGTAAATTTCCAAACCATAATCATTCAGGTGTCAAATTTTGAAATTTTCCTGTACTCTGAGGTTGAAGATGAATTTTTGTGTTACACATTTCTATGCTATTTACCTGTAGTGTGACATCTAGGGAACTACTCTTACAGCATCAACCTTGACGGCGGTACTGCGCGGCACATTGCTGCCTGTGAGGGCCACCGCGACAGTGTCAGAGTGGCTACTCAACTAGAAGATCAACATTGACGTGCACGATCGCTGGGGAAGCACGGTGAGCCCCCATCCGACTTTCCTTCCTATGAATTTTGCGTTGTCAAATCATGATCTCATTCGCTTATCCGGTCATAGGGGGTAGCTGATGCCGATTTTTAAGGCCACTCGAAGGTCTATGATGTATGATCTCTTTAAAATTCATGGTGCAAGGATATATTGCAGATGCAGTTTTAGCATATATAAAATTAGAAAACTAACGAAGACATTCAAAAGTTTGGTAGTGTTATAGCACTGGCCAGCTCATCCACCTGGTGCTTACTAGAAAGGTGTGCTTACTAGATAGGTGTCTCTTACGGTTTTCTTGTTCAGTTGCATTTATTTAGCACTCTCCCCTTTGTCACTGAATGCCAGGGCTCCTGCTTTCCATTTTAACCTTCTTCCATGTGGTACGGAGTCTTGCCGCTATGTTCAAAATTCAACCCTTGTTGTTGGGCTGAAATTACGTGCAATGTCGATATGACATTTCAGTTTACAATGGTTGTTGTTGGGCTGAAGGTGAGGATCCTATAACTCTAGAAAAGAAGGTTAGTGGTCTACATATGCTGATATGCATCTGCATTATTCAGTATCAACATTATTGGGTTCACTAGATCTTGGTAAATTTTTTTCAATACAAATACAAAAATGATAAAAAATTACCTCTGTTAGCTAAACAACCATGACTTTGTTATTTTCAAAATTAATAGTTAATGGAATAAAAGCATTCTTGGTTTCTTAAATAATTATGTATTTGATGTTGGTTTCTCACATAGTTGAACGCTGTCATTTTCTTTTACACCCAACAACACATGTTCTATAGTCGTACTGTTGCAGCAGTGGCGAAACAGTCCCATATGAACCATGATTGATTTTGCTATATCCAAGTAATTACTCCTCATAGAGGAGAAGAACCAGATTGATCTTCTGATGATTTACAGTTGCAGCTAACATGTGTTATTTTAGTGGAGAAGTTGTGCTGAAAAAACAAATCTAGCCGGACAATTACTTGCTGAAAGATGTTGTTGTTCAGATCTTGGAAGGTAAGTGATTGTTTCATTGTTATTTTAGTCAGCAAGCCCATGGCAGGGTACCTTAATATATGAATTTGCACAGTGCGAATTATCATCTTCCAAGTTGCGCCATAAATTCTGATGGAAGTAACTTTTCTTGGATCTTGCATGCAGTTCAGATTCTGAAAAATGTGAAATGTCTGAAACACAGTGGTGTATTGTTGGTTTGTTGAATCACTCAACCTGTAGAACTATGAGTTAGTGACTCCCTGCATGTCATAATTTGTGTAGTTGATGCATCTACTTTTCTTCTTTAATGGATATGTGGATTTTAATATTTTTTGTCCATGGTTTTATGGAGGTATTGGCTCAACGTTGAAGAGGCAGAATGGATCATATATATGACAAATGTTGGTCAGCAGCACCACTTTGACATGTTTTTCAGTGTAAGCGCTGAGTGGCACCAAGATGTTTTTCATTTACTGTGTTTTTGTTGAATCTTTTCTTCCCTTTCTACATGCTGCAAGGATGGCCACTTGGCTCCCAAATCCAACTGAAATGGATTGACATTAGAGTATGAAAAATGATCCATTTTAGCAAATCCGTCTACAGGGATCATCTCCTATTCCAGAGTCACTGGAAAATGTTCAAGTTACAAAAATTAGAAAGAGATGCGTCTTGCTTGATACACTGTCTATCCCTTCTATATACAACACCGAGTTCTGAAATCTGAATTGCATTGAAATTTTGCTTGCCTCCTGTAACTACTTGTGTTCTATAAAGGTTGAGTAGCTCAGTTGCAATTTCATGATCTGTGACTTCTTAAGTACGGTGGTCCCATTATAGTATGTTAGAATTAGTTACAAGTCTTTTATATTGAATTAAATAATTGCATATATCTCATTGAGTTACTAATTGCAAATACTAATGGAATAATGTTTCAAAGTGTCAAAGGCATACTAAATTGGATTATAATTCAATACTAGGGGCATATGATTGAAGGCATTTTATTATCTAAAATATGAAGAAGGGTGGCCTTGGTATACCCCTCTCCTACGAAGCAAACTGATAATTCAAAGAGATGGTTAGTTCTAAAAGGTTGAGGAGGAATCTTGTTATGGTGATATGAACTTTTATGTGCGTATGCACAAATATATAATACTATAAATACATATCTTGATGATTGCAAACCATAAATGAGAATTTTAGCCATGTATAAAATCCAATTTGTAATATTGACATCCCGAACATACATCACGCTTGCATTGTCGTTTTTTTTATAACAATACAATGCTCAAATTATCAGGGCATTATTTGTTCTCATTGCAACTGATAGAAAGGTCTATACAGTAAAGTTGGTGAGCCTGCGACACCGTGCTCTTCGTAACTGTGTTAATTTCACTGACTTATTTGCTTTTTGATTAAATGTCACTTTAACGTCAGTATTTTTTAGATTAAATATTACTTTAACGTCAGGTAATTTCACAGTATATTATCTTGTCGTGCGATCCGTGTATTTTTTTAGTATAAAAGTTTAATTGTTCCATAGCAACGCACGAGCGTTTTTTGATTAAATGTCACTTTAACGTCAGTATTTTTTAGATTAAATGTTACTTTAACATCAGGTAATTTCACAAGTATATTATCTTGTCGTGCGATCTATATTTTTATTTTTATTACAAAAGTTTAATTGTTCTGTAACAACGCTCATATTACAAAAGTTTAATTGTTCCGTGAAGGCATGAGCACGCTACAGTTCATGAGATATAAGCGTCCTTGCGTTGCCAATTCATGAGATAAGCAATTAATTCATCATCCAGCAGCTCCTAGCTAGTACTCCGCTTATCACGGATCACGTACGTACTAACAGATAGATCTCCTCACGTCACCATCAAAGAAGAAAGATTCGTGATCCAATACACAATGACAACAATCATTAATAAAATGTCATGGCCCCATGGAGAATATGGCATGAAAAAATAATCAAAAGCCGAGGTCATTATCTCGGCGACGTCCAAATGTACGGAAAATAAATATCATTGCATGACATCCGTGTCTAAAGTATGATCAGTTTTAAACAGCTGACTGACGAGACTGATATCGAACAACCCAGAACCAACCCAACAGGACACCTAGCTGTATAGATCGTCATCATCAGCCGCAGCACCGGCAGAGGCAAACGGGTCGGCTGCAGCAGCACCAGCTGTTGCGGACTGCTCCGAGAAGCGGAACTCGCTGCCGAACCCACGGGACTGCTGCAATGTCTGGGCAAACGCCTGGTACTTGCGGATATCGGCATCACTGACACTACGCCGAGCATACTTCATCGACTCCTCGAAGTGAGCCGCCTTGATCTCGGCAATCTCGTCCACTTCGTCTTCCTCCATCGCCTCAGGGTTGTCCTTTCTCCGCCTTTCCCTCTCAATGTCCTGAAACCATATTTGTCGAGATTAGATGTTGCGAGGAGATTTATTCAGATGAAAATCGATAGGGCAACTAAACAGCAGTCAAACCAAGCTTAGCTTAACTAGGAAGTTCAACCTATGATAAAAAGTTCATCATACTTCAAGACAAGATTAAAGAATTCATCCCAAGTTATGGTAGATAACTAATTTGGGACTGGAAGGAGTACATGTAAGCTATCTGAATGATTATTGTTACTTCTGCTTCCTACTGAAATATATTGAAATCATGAATCGACTGCTACATTTTGTTATATATATTAATTTAAAACATTTTTGAAATAAAAATGTATCTGCCAAGACAAATCTACTTGTATAATTCCAAACATTCAAACAGGTAAAAAGTAATTTTTGGTAACTTCAGACTGGGCTTGTTAGGCTGTACTTGTATCCACCTCAATCCACATGCTGGGGTGGAAATTAAACTAACTTATGGCACCCTTTTTTACACAAAGCTGTCTGTTTAGTTCATGATTAGGAATGACAATAGCTTGGACTTCAGAAGAGTACTAATTTCTAGAGTACCAACTAACGTTAGAGGAACTTACCTTCTCAATGTTCTCTCTGATTGCATATTTGCACGCACGCTGGCAAATTTCTGTGATATCTGCTCCACTGAACCCTTGCGTGTACTTAGCAAGAGCATTCAAGTCCACATCCTTCGCCACAGGGGACTTCCTAAGGCAGGCCTTGAAGATCTGGAGCCTAGACTGCTCATCAGGCAGTGGAATGTAGATCAGCTGGTCAAGACGCCCTGGCCTCAGCAGAGCAGGGTCAATGATGTCAGGCCTGTTTGTAGCCCCAATAATAAACACAGTTTTCTTGGCATTCATGCCATCCATCTCTGTCAGTAGCTGATTAAGCACTCTATCAGCCGCACCTCCAGCATCACCCACACTGCTTCCTCTCTGCAACATCGCATTAACATCTGTAAGACATAGAACATGACACCAGAAATAATAAAGAGCCAAGGTGAGGCATGTGTATAGACCTGAGTAGCAATCGAGTCAAGCTCGTCAAAGAAGAGGACACAAGGAGCAGATTGGCGAGCCTTGTCGAAAATTTCACGGACGTTGGCTTCACTCTCACCAAACCACATGGTAAGCAACTCAGGACCCTTGACACTGATGAAGTTAGCCTGGCACTCATTGGCAATTGCCTTTGCCAACAAGGTCTTACCACAACCAGGAGGACCATAGAACAGAACTCCTTTGGATGGAGACATGCCAAACTTCTCGAACTTCTCCGGATGCTCCACAGGATATTGAACAGTCTGCATCAATTTTGAAAGAAATTAGCAAATTGTGGAACATAAACAATACCAAGAGCAGGAGGTCAATTAGCATCTAATTACCTCCTGGAGCTCCCTCTTGACATTCTCCAGCCCACCAATATCCTCCCAAGAGACATTTGGGACTTCGACAACCTGAATCCAGAAAGCAAATTAAGAATCCCAGAACAAGAGCAGCTCACACAGATAATTATAGGAAGGTACTCACAGTTTCACGGAGAGCAGATGGGTTGCTTGTTCCAAGCGCGGTCTTGAAATGGTCATTTGTAACAGCCATCGAGTTCAATATCTCTGCATCTATTGTCTCATCCTCAAGATCTATGATGTCCATCTTCTCACGAATGCACTGAAGAGCAGCCTCAGTGCAAAGGGCAGCAAGATCAGCACCAACGTATCCATGGGTATCCTTTGAAATGAGTTCCAAATTAACCTGGAAATTTCAGAGAATGGACATCAGGAGATGCTAGAAGAGAGGACAGAAATCATAGTCATAATCAGTGTCAAGTGCAACGGATCAAGAATAAATTACGGTCACTTACATCTTCAGCTAGTTTCATGTTCTTAGTGTGAATGCGGAGAACCTCAAGCCGGCCAACTTCATCAGGAACTCCAATGTCAATTTCCCGGTCAAACCTTCCAAATCTTCGAAGAGCAGGATCAATGCTGTTTGGTCTGTTTGTAGCACCCATAACAATAACATGGGAACGAGATTTGAGTCCATCCATAAGAGTCAGTAGTTGTGAAACAATACGACGCTCTACTTCTCCATTGGTCTTCTCTCTCTTCGGCGCAATGGAATCAATTTCATCAATGAAAATGATAGATGGAGCATTCTTCTCTGCTTCTTCAAATGCCTTTCTAAGATTGCTCTCACTCTCTCCTGCTAGCTTCGACATAATCTCTGGGCCATTGATCAGAAAGAAAAATGCTCCAGTCTCATTTGCAACAGCACGAGCAATAAGAGTCTTTCCAGAACCAGGTGGCCCATACAGCAATATGCCCTTTGGTGGCTTCACACCAATAGATTTGAAAAGCTGAGGATGGCGTAGTGGAAGCTCGACAAGCTCTCTGATTTGGGCCATTTGCTTCCTAACTCCACCAACATCATCATAACCAACTTCATCAAGACGCTCCTCATCCTCCCTCTTAATAGGCTCCCCATCACAAAATATTTCAGTATCTGGCGCAACGATACAATATTCAGCAGGATCAGTCTCTATCACTTTGAATTCCACACTTCTCATTCCACCCCTGACAAGGAAAAGGTCTCCTTTCCTCACGGGCCTGTATGCTTCTAGGAAGTATGCTGCACAGTTTCATAAGGGGTGTTATTAGAAAATGACAGAACAGCGATAAGGTCTAGCATGACATGGCAGAAACAATATACAAGCATTTTAGTTATAGGGAGTATAAATGTCAGACTCCTCCCTGTTCAGAACTAAGTAAACCATTGACAAAAGAAGAAGAGAGAAATACCTCAGTTCAAGTAACACTAAAATTAAGTATCATGGAGCCATGCTAATGCAAAAAACTAGATCAACTAAGAAATTCAAAGATCACAAACTCACGTTTCAAGAAGGCATCAAACAGGTTCCCTGTAATGCCTTCAACTGTATCATCAATTGGAAGAATGTGCACACGCTTCCCATACTTCACATCCTGGCACTGGTGGACAGAAACCACATCACCAAGCCTCACCCTCAGGTTCTGGCGGACAACCTTGTTCATCCGAACCTTTGGCTCCTCACAGGTTTCATCCGCAAGGACAATGCAAATAGTGTCTTTCCTCTTCTTACCCTATAACACAAAACATAATGTGAGAAATATATCCATGGACAAACAGTAGCCATAAAGTTCGCTAACAAATTTTGTCACCCCCCATAACACAAAAACTAACTGCTGGGCCATAAAGAGACTTAAAAAAAAAGATAGGCCAAATATCCAATTGCTCAGGCCCGTACACACTAGAGTTACAAGTACAGGCATCACATCCAAATTATCATGCTAGGAATCACAAGATAACAATTCTGTATGCAGCACATCATCTCCATCTAACAGAACAATGAACACAAATCTGAATAATACTAAATAGTGTTGATTCCCTGTTCTAACAATGAACAATGATATATTATTAATGCAAAAAGAGTGGTTGCATTTAAATCTAGAACAGATCTATGAGAATATATTCGAACATAACAATCCAAGTATATTAAAATTCGTTACTTACTGAAGCAATAAAAGAAATCTAGATTACTATTACCTTCAACTGAATTGATGTACGAATGCAAATTGCAAAATTCTAAAATCTACACACTACAGCAGCAAAACAAGGACCCAAATACCCTCAGCATACTCAAATTCCCAAACAACACAACAAATTACAACATTAAACACTTCAGCAATTACTTCACAGTGATTAAGCAAGGTCATTTCTAACAGATCTGCACTCCGAATACACCCTATTCAGGTCGGTCACATACAGATCGGTCACGTGATAATACAATCTGCTAAATCGTCCCAAAGCTGCTGCAACAAGCTCAGATTAGCCATATCAGACCTTGAGGAGCACGGTGTCGCCGCGGAAGAGCTGCAGCCTCTCCATGGTGTCAGGGTGCAGTGCGACGACGGAGTTATCGTCGTTGGTGGCCTCGTCGACGACAAGGCGGTTCGGCGACTTTTTCCTCTCCAGGATCGCCGTCGAGTAGTCCTTCTTCTCCTTCCTGCACAAGCCATCACCGGAAAACCATTACCAAACGAATCCACCACCGAAACATTGACAACAAAAAAACCCAGATCGGGTCCGGGAACCCTCAACCCTAGGGTTCAACCAGATCGGATCGGCCGGGGAGGAAGGGAGCGACATCTTACGGATCGGAAGCGGACGCCGAGGGCTCCCCTTGGCTCGCCATGTTTGCGGTGGCGACGACGGCGGCGGAGGTAGGTTTCGGGTTGTTGGCCGGGGGATGGCGTTAAATGCAGCAGCACCAGCGAGGTTGCGGAGGACTCGATGAGGGGGTTAGCTTTCCTTTATAGCTTCTTTCTTGCAGCGGGGGTTTGGGACTCGGAGGGCCGCGTCACCGGGTACGTCACTGACTCGCGGGACCTGGTACGGTGCACGGCCCACATGGCAGAGAACGTTCTGGAGCCTTCTGGAGGTAGGACTTAAAGCGGAGCCCACTGGTCCCGACGTGTGGGGACCACGTGGAAGTGACGCAGATGGGGGCGGGTGGGGACCACGTTCATCGTGTTAATCGTGCTCGTCGCGTGCGGCGTTGGAGATGCGGAAGGAGAGGAAGGAAGTTTGGTATCGTTTCATTCTTGTATTATTATATGAAAAAAAATCCGAGGACAGTGGAGTAGGAAACGAAAATTGGAATCGAAGTCTCTCCATGCTGTAATCTCGTTATATCTCAAGTCATTTTGTTTCCTCAACTTTCTTCTATGGTGAAGCCTGTATACAAGAGTGTTTATTTGAAGACTCTAATTTAGCAAGTTAATAAAAAAAATAGCAACCTTAAATTTTATTCTTCTCCAACATTTTACTATAATAGCTTCCTAAACAATTTTGCATTGAAAATCTCGAACTATTTCTAACCAACCAAATATTTTTTTAATGGTTTATTCGTCTCTTATCACTTTCTCATCTTAAACCTTTTATTGTCTTAATTAATATATTCATCGTCCAATTTACTTTGATCTCCGATAAAAATACCGGACAAGGAGCTGATACGGAGTTCCTATCAACTATGAAAACTTGTAAGTTGGAGAGGCAACTTTTTATTTTTAAAGAGCTCATTTACCAAACTGTGGAAGGACATTTTTTTTCTTTTTATCAAAAAATCAAAATAGAGAGTTAGTTCTACAAAACTCCCCGAGATTCTCTAGTAGCGGGACGGGAAGCAAAATTGAGAGACAAGTTTGGTACTTTGCAAGACCTGTTGCTTGGGCTGTCTACGGGGGCATCGGATTGTACATATGCCCTCGAGACAATTGTGTACTATGGATCACGATTCTTCTGACAATACAATCAACTGAAAAGGAAGTATAGACTTGCCAAATAATCCATCATTTGTCATTTGCCAACCAAAAGAGTAGGGAAGTATAGGCATACAAAAGTTAGAGGGGCAGCACCGAGTAGCAAGTATTGCAAACAATGATTTACAAGTAGGAAGCGACATCTTTTGTTACTTGCTTAAAATAATGATCCTTCGTAGTAAACTCTACGTATAGATATCTTATTAATATAGTTATAGGATCTCTGGTTAGGCTAAAAGAGCGAATAGGCTGTTAAAATAAAACTTAAGCAAACGTCAAATTTAATCCGCGGCACAACCACTCGATCTCATGCAAGATCGCTGAAAGCATGACATTCTTAGGGCGAGAAGCAACCTTGCCGCAGCACTGCAGATAACTTCGAGGCACAATTCAAAACCTATGAAAGGAAAATTGGATTGGAGAATTTAGTGAGGTTCCTGCAGGTACGAGGTACACAGATCAATAGAGTATACAAGTAGATCGACCTCAAATCTTAGAAATCATCTCAACAACAATATAAAATGCAATAAAATAAATCAAGCGTAAGGTGACTGTTGCGCGGTGCTTAACTCACATATTTAATCGCCAACACTTACATGAAATCCTAGCATACAGACACTAAACTTAGAAATAGGGCTTTAGAACTAACAATCTCCACAAGTTTTGGTGTTTGACCATTTGCAGGAGGGCATTTATGGAATACATGAAAAACACATTCAAAATGCGCAAAGAAACAAAGTGTGACACCATATTGCGCAAAGCAAAAGAGCCCAAGGGGGGAAGGCCTACTACCAGGGCAAGCATATGGAGAAAAAGGGACCAAACCCAAACCAAACGATCTTCAAATGGCGTAAAACTTCACGGGCATGACCCACACATCCCCAGAGGCCCACCAGACAAAACTTCGGCCAAGACTATGTCTCCAGGGGTCGACCGACCCCTAAGGTTGTCCGTCCCCCTACAGCTCACCTCGGGCCCAACCTTGACCAGGTGCTTCTTACCGTCTCTCCAATGTCGGTGGCATGTGTATTCCGGAAGGATTGTACGGAGGAATGGTGGTTTGCTCAAGATAGGAAGCATGCAAAGAAGCACAATTTCACTCCATCTCCACCATTCATCTGATGACGGTTTGATCCAAGGGTCATGGTGAAGAAGCACACGGATCGCTGACATGGCACATTGAGCGGCTTCCATTCCTCCTCTCCACCTATAAAAGGAGGCCTCCCCCTCCTCATTTGACAACACCTCAAGGCAAAGAGCATTCCACCATTGAGCTTCACTCCAAAGGCTTAGGCCCTAGATAGCTAGTGAGTAGTAAGGGAGAGATGTGAGGAAGAGCTTGGGAAGCGCCGGACTTCGGTGTCTCCCCAACTTATACCTCGACGAACACCTGTACCTCAACGGGTTTTCCCGCTAAGTGAGTGTTCATGATTCTTATAGTATAAAGTCTTTTGATTAGTTAAGCTTTACTCTTACTTGTTTGCGGGTTCATCGTCCGTCCCCGTGGCGGATACTCTACTAGAGGGCCCTAATAAAGTCGGATAACCCTGTACAACGCTAGAGGAGTAGTCGCTAGCGTAGACGTGGTGTCAAGGCTAGAGGCTACCTTCGTTTGCCTCGTACTCCATGGTTGAGGGGTAGGCAGCAGGTGGTGATAGCCCTGCCCGTCTCTTGTAATCCCCACGTTCGGGTACGACGTAGAGCTATAGGCTGGCATTGCTTAGCAGACTAGGTGATAACCAGTGCCCGAAGTAAGCAAGTAGAAGTAAAGTTTATCTATCCTTAGACCAAAAACCATAGGAATCCATCTCATCCTCTATCATCTCTACCATTGTGTTGTCCTTGGATGAACCAAGTTAGAAGAATACATCCGTTCCCTATGGAAAATACGATACCCTAAATACTTCCGGGTGAAAGCTACAAAGAGTAATTCCATGCGCTTGTGGAATCTTTTTGTTTGCGTTAAGAAATACCAGCAATCATTTCTGGCACCGTTGCCGGGGAACGGTTGCTATTTTCTTCGAACCTAGTTTGTCCTCGTATTTGTATCTTTTATACTTTCTTTTTATAAAAAACACAAAATATATTTCACCATGAAGCCTACACCAAATCCAACCCTTCCTGCTTCAAAGGGGGTGTTCCCTAAGCCACCTTCAAAATCAAACCTGTCATCTAGCTATGAACTCCACCCTAGCTTAATAGCCATGGTTCGGGCACAACCCTTCTCAGGGCACTATAATAAAAACCCCTGCCATCACCTGCATGAGTTCGAGGAGATGTGTTCGTGCCTGAGCATCCCGGGCATGACACAGGAAACTCTAAAGTGGAAATTGTTTCCCTTCTCTCTCACGAGGAAAGCGAAGCAATGGTACACACATGCCGTAGAAAGTACGAATGGCTTAAAGACAAGTTTCACCTTGCATTCTTTTCTATGTCTCGTATCAACTCTCTACCAAGGGCAATCCTCGACTGAGCAGCACAAGAACGAGTCAATAGGTGCAGCCTGGGCTAGGTTTTCAGTGTTAATACACACCGACCCAGACTTGTCTTTACCCGATAGCATATTGCTGCGACTCTTTTATTTGGGTATTGACATGGGTGCTAACCTATGTCTAGACGTAACTGTCGGAGGTCATTTTACACACAAGATTATGACGGAACAAGTAGAATTCCTTGAGCATTTCATAGACAAACACTCTTCTTTCATCATAAGAACTAAATCCCTTCAGGCAAAAGTTACGTTGAGTGTTGAGGAGTCCTCACCAGTCGAATCCAAATCTATACCATCCTTAGATTTAACTCGTGAGCCCTCACCCAAACCACGAACGTCGAAGGAGAGATTAATTCATCCTTTAAAGTTCCCTATCAAATTCAAGGATTATGGCAATACCTCAAAATATTTTGGGCATGAAAAGCTTACACATCCTTCTAAGAAAGTTTCCCCTAAAATAGAACCATCAAAGGAATGGTTGTTGGAAGTAAAACGTTCTTCTCAAAGCAATTTGGATTCTTTTACCTTCCACGACCATGCCTTGTTCATTAAGGGAAACAAACATAGAAGCCCTGCACAACCCCACAGTCGGGACTAGTATCATATCAAAATTCCTAATGAAAAACCTTTTAGGTAACATGCCACTAGTCTCGACCAATAAACTCTTCAAAAGTCCCTCAGGGCTCATCTTCAAGTGTTGTTGGATTGCTAGGGCTGTGCCATTTAAAATAGACAAAAACGAGGTTCACATAGATTTAAATATCTTTGCCATCCTTGAATTTGAGCTTCTCGTAGGCCACCCTTTGGACAATCTTTTTCAAGAAAAACCTTCCCATGGGAGCCTTAGTCAAGAGTCTAGGAAAACTATTTCCGCCACTCACTTAGATATCCCAATGGCGGAGCATCAACCCAACAATGACCTGTTCGAGGAGGTAAAGTTCGTAACCCCATTCATTTCACCATCACCCTCACTCGAACCCAAGACATGTCCCTCTGGCCATCCAAATTTTGTTCTTGATGATGGTCAAAATTCAACGTTAATCCTACACAATAAATCCCTTAGGAACAAAAACTCTTGTGCCATGGACATGTTGCTTTGTACCCCGCGCTTCTACGAGGAACACAACCACCTATCACTCCTAATTTACAAACTTTTTGGAAGGATGGTTGTGGATGCATATGTTTATCATAAACATTGCAAATCTCATGGATGCGTTGTGGTACTAACCTTGTAGCTTGAACGATGATGCTAAATGATGAAGCTGGGAACTAAACCACCATTGTTAGCTGCAAGATGAAGTTCCTAAGGTCAAGCTTATGACCATAAACAAAGCACTACCGGGAGATACCTCGGATTATAAAAAAACAACAACTTTCCTATTA